CTTGGGGCACCTCTGATGTAAAGAAATTAGAATTTTAACCTGGTTGTGATGAGGGTGTGACTCTTAGTGGGGTTCCTTAGGCTCTCTTTGCTCTCAGGAAAGGAGGAATACAGAAGCAGGTCCTTCTCTGTCAACACTGCAAAGAGAGGTTTCTCTGGACCCTGGGACATCTGCACACACAGACAATTATTTCAAACTGAAATTAAATGCCCATCACTCTTTCAGGGTACATACAACAATCCTTAAGTTAAACACCTTTTAAAACCACTTTTACTACCTTCTAATTTTTTTTAAACATTGCATATGTTGATCCGTGTGACCTTTCTAACTTATGAATCATTGTTTCTAAGTCACACCCAGAAAGGAAAGGTTGTGGAAACTAATGGCTGTATCCAATTTTAAATAAAAATATCTTCTGCTATTAATAGCAGTAAGAGTAGCAGGCTAATATTGGTTGCAGTAGTGGTATTACTACTAAATTACAAAAGTTAATTTTAAAACACATATTCTGGTGAATTGTGCAGGCAACCCAAAAGATATGCAACTCTGTAAAAAAAATGGTGCATCAAAATTACTTTGATGGCCCAAAGGGTTAAGTTCACACTACTCAGGGACACCAAGTTCTTTCCTATCGGATCTATTTTGATCAGCTGCAGGGGTGTGAGGTCCTGGAGGAGCTGTCGGTGAACCAACCGCCTCAGTAAACTCTTTAAATGGTAAATGATGCCATCAACAAGGTGTTTTTGAAGAACACTGCTATTCTGGTTATGTAACCAGTTTTGTCTTTACCACATGTGAATGGCGTTGCAGTATCGGAGCTGAGGAACATTTCATGATTTACATCACTTACATTAAGAAACTTAATTACTCTTAAAAGGCACTGTATTTATGTCATTTGATGAAAACATAAAGTTTTCGAAATGTTCAACCTTATCTTAAAGTTAGACTTACTGTAAGGATTTGGGTTTTTCTCTGTGTTGATTTGAGTTTTTCTGTGTTCATTTTGAGTTCCTGTGTCTCTGAGTCTCCATGTTGTCCTGTCTCCCCTTGATTGTCCACAGGTGTGTCTCGTTTTTGTGATTACCCTCTGTGTATTTAACCCCTCCTGTACTCTTTGTTCCTCATTGGGTCCTTGTCTAAGCTGTCGTTTTGTCAGTCCTGTCTGGCGTTTAGTCCTGGCTTCTGCTCAGCCAGGCTGCCTGGTTGTTGGATGTTTGTTGGGCTTATTTCATCATTAAACCATCATTTTTCATTTCAACCTGGGTCTCAAGCATCTGCCTCACCACCTCCTCACACCACTTTATGACACTTACTGAATCTTAAAATTTAAGACTTTAAGATAAGTCTTACTTTTTTTGTTTCCAATGTGGAGAATCTAAGAGTTTTCCACAACCAACAAGTATACTGAGAAAACTGAAACTAGAGAGTAAAAAGGATAACAGAGTACAAAAAAAAAAATACAATTAAAAGATTTAGAAAAGAAGAGCAAGTCCTTTCACTCTTTTCTCCATGTACCCCAATATCCTTCCATACCTGCTCTGTAAGCCAGCCCAAATGTTTGACATCCATGCCAGGTTGCATGCTCTTCATCTCCTCCTTCACTTGTGGTAGAAGGCTGGCGGCAGCAGCTTGGATGGCATTGTACCACGACTGAGCCATGGCTGGGTCTTTTGCCCGCAGGAACATTGAGTTCTTTCTGTTGGATGAAATCACCTCGAAATACCTGGCAAGTGTGATTAAAGGAGGCGGGGGAAGGAGGAAAGAAAATGGAAAAAAGGGTCTGTTAAAAAAACAAGAAAAACCTCAAAGACAGCAAAGCTTTAGGCTGAGGAGGAAGTTTCATATATTAAAGAGAATATCAAAGTAAGACAAAAAAAATCTCTTTTGCAATAATCTTTAAAAGTAATTTTTTAACTTGTCAGTCAGCCTTCAGCTTGGTTCTGAAAAATAGATTAACTGAATTAAATATGACATTTAACTGATAGATGTTTAACATGTAGTACCTGTTCTCTGTGTCTGGGGGGCACTCTTTCCGTGACACCTGGCACATCCTCAGTGGGATGACGCGAGGCTCTTTCACCTCAGTGGGGAAGACCTCATTGCTCCTCAGAGGTGTAGAGGGGGGAGAATCCCAAGGGAGGTTTGCTCCAGGGGAACCGGAGCTTTTAAAAAATGCAGACATTTCCTTGATGTATTTCACTGTAAAAGAGCCAGAGCAGAGAAGGGAGAATTGGGTAATGAGCAAGAAGAACTGCAAAAAGAAACTGTAAAGTTTTTTTTTCATCCAAAATGGATCCTTCAGGTTTGTTACAAACGAAAAAGTACCACACTTAGGAGCTATTTTAAATAGTCTTTAAACCCATTTTTGACAATTCATAACAGACTCATTGCAGCTTCTTTTGTAAAAACAACTTAAACATAATGAAAAGTAGATGATTTTATCTTAATTTTCTCATTCTTATAATTCTGGAAGGAGGACATTCCTTGAGCACCAGGTGGGTATGTAAAGGGTACGTAATTCACTTTTGTTGTACATCAGCACAATGCCATGGGTCACCAAGCACAGCTGGTTCTTTTGGGAAAGTCATGGACCATAGGGACAGGAGTAATAAAGAGGATCTCAACACTCTACATCCAAGATTATCCACTCCACTGAACAGATGCCAAAAGGCTGCAGTCACTTTACACCTTTTTAAGAGTCAGTTCAGCTAAAATCTATGTGGGAAAGCCAAAGCAGAGAAAACCATAGAAAGCATAGGGGGAAATACAGATCCATGTGCAGAATAGAGTGCTGACAGTAAAGCCTTTGATGAGTGATAAATGTCTTCTGTTTATTTTTGCATTTTATGGCCTCATTAAATGCTTTAAATCAGTGTATTCAACACCAATCCCCATGGACAACTTTTAGATGTGTCCCTGGTCCAATACACGTGAATTAAATGGTTTTACTAACTCCTCAGTATTCAGTCAAGTTCTAATTATTTAATTCAGGTGCGCTGAAGTAAAGACTGAGGTTGAATAATCCTGCTTTAGGTTGACAAACATAGATGTGGAGGAGGTTTTGCCCTACTGTCTCCATAGATTGTTTTCCAATAGCCACGTTAGAATAATCTCCCTCAGGACTTTCTGCTGGACATCCTGAAGCAGCAAAGCAGCCCAATACAGCCCAATGTTTTGCGACACACACCTTCCAAAAAAATCCACTGTTGCCTTTTGTATTTACTCAGGTTCTACTGGCCTATCTGCTGGGATATGTCAGTGAAAACAAAAAGATCCAACAAATTGAGAGTTGATTAAGTCATCCCTGTATTTGGGAATTTTTGTTAAGATTTCCTCAAGAAAGCAAAGCTGGGCAGTAAATGCAACCAAAACCACTTATTTGTTTGTCTTCCCAAGTGCAATAATGCTACTCAACTGTTGACCATTATTCAGATCAGAAGCTGTGCCTGTTGTTGGTTTGGAACTTTATGATTTTGTAACAATCCTTTTTATCACATATTGTGATCATTTCCAACCACCATCTGAAGCCAAAAGCAAATTTCCACATATGTGGACAATAAAGTTTATTATTATTGTCAATATTAAAATCTGTTTAAAGATATAGCATGCACATTTATGACAAAAAATAAGAAAACTGTATGCAGGGAAAATATTTTCTCACAAGACTATATACTTCACACTGTAGGTACCGCCATAGTAGAACACTTTTTAACACCCCACTGCTGGTTTGAGTTTATGTGATTTTATCTTCTTGCTTGTGTTCCACAGCTGAACAATCAATTATCCTTTGAGAACAGACACAGCCGTTCATTGACTTAATCTGATTTCATGAGCACGGACCACACCACAACAATGTGAGTCCACTGTTTCAATCAAAGAGAAGAGAGGACAAGAAAGGTCTGCTGAATACAAGTTAGACACAGTCAGCAAATGACATGGTGAACCCCTCGAGATGGTGCTGTGGAAGACAGAAAAGTACAAATTACAAAATAATGCACACAATGGATATTATAGGGAACAAGAGAAAACAATTGAAAGAACTGAGTGTTGTTAAAACAAATTTAATTGTCACTTGTGGTTTGGGTACAAGCAGCAGAAAAGATGCCGTAAAAGAAAGATGTGTAGAATGAATTGGATGAAAAGATTTGTAAAAATCAATAAATGAGATCGTTGAAATAAAACAGAGCTGTAAAACAGAGACGGTTTAGTGAGGAAGTAAGATGAATATGGATAAATAAGGAAGGTGGGATAAAGAACCCCAGTACAAAGTGTGATACATGAGTGAGCCAGCTGTAATCGCTTGCCAAGCGATTAGAGGGGCAGCGCAGGATGGTCTTGGTCCTCAACTTAAATCCCCTTTCAGGTCATCTTGACATTCTGATGATGCAAATAGATTTCACGAGACCACATATTTCAATCATGCCTTGTACCTAAAAGTTGTTATGGTTTTGTGACCACCTGATCAGAGGCAAATAATGATGAATCCCCTTCCCATGTGACCTTTTAGCTGATTAAAGATTTTCATTTCACTATAAGTCAGTCAATTGAGAGATCAATTGCTGGAGGCATGTTGTTTAGTCAATGTGAGTAAGTTAATTGCCATACTTACATAATATATGACAACACTCATGGGTCAGTTTTTGGATGATAACATACGGTAATTTTAAAAATGCTTCAAGAACCTTTAAAATTTTAATTCGTAGGTATTTTATGTTTCTCATGAGACTATATCTCATGATCATCAAAAATATAAACTGAATCCTTGTAATTTATATATTTTTTTATAATTAAGTACAAGCAAATTCAGTTTAGGAGCAATTCTATAGACACATTTTGTTACAATTAATTCAGCCACACACCCATACAGATACACCTACACACCACCACAGTGCAACTCTGGCTCAGCAGGCTGTGGTATGGGTTCAGCAATTGTAGCCTCTGCTTGAGTAAAAATAGCCCAAAGGACATGGCAAGTCAGGAGGCTGAAGGTAAGGCTCTGGTTTCACTGGGGAAGTGTGAAGTGCTCTTCATGCACAGTACAAGAGGCAAGCAGCCAGAGGGCAAGCAGAGGAGTAACAGGGCTGGACAAGAGCAGACAGAAGTATACTGTATCTTTTTTTGTTTGTTCTTTATCTCAAACTCAATTTTGTAATCAATTTTTAAAAAGGCCCATCTCTTTGACTAAGACGTTGTTATCTGGTTATGCTTGATATCACCCTAAATTTAGCTGTGATGTGTGGTGTTGGCAGATTTATGGAGTAACAAATTGCAAGTGTTACCATGTTACTTTTGGAATAAGTAGGTATTCAACATTAACGACCTGGATCTTTGGTGGGGACAAAAACATCAGGAAATCCTTACAAAATAATCAAACAAAAACATGATGAGGTTGCTGAAACCTCTTGGGATCACATCCTTAAATCAACAATGCAGGGGAAAAATGGCTCTTTGCATAATCCAAACAGCTTTCGTTTCACCTACTTTTGTATGTCAGCTAGCCTACCTCAGCAGTTTGGGAGGATAATTGTCTTCATTCTCGGTTTTAGACTTGCTTTCATGTAACTCATTGAAGGTATTCTTCCCACTGGCTGCTCAAACAATGTACTGCACAAATAAATGACTGTGAATTACAATGAGATGGAAAAACTGTGGGAAGAGTTGATCGGTGCAATTCAATAAGAATAGGCATGGCTTGTTTTTGCTTTAAGGTTTACTGATAAACTGATTACTTTTGTTTCATTGTGATGCAGTTGCTTATATTTCAGTTGCACAGCAAATGTATTTTTAGATCTGCTCTACGACTGAATGAATGAAATGATAATTCTAAATTATTTCATTTGTAACAGTTCGCATGAAGTAATAATATATTTTAGCAATTACCTTAAAATAAAGTTTGTAAATATATATTAATATTCAAGTCCAATCACATCAACTCATTCTGAATGAAGTGATATATCAACTTAACTACCATAACATGCCAAAAATGACTAAAAGTTTTCTAATCTTAAACTGACAAGTAAGAACTTATCCAAAAATCTTTTTAAAAATGATCATAGGAATTCAGAGACTGCAACTCATATCTGATGATATGAGGAATAGATTAAGGAGAAAAAAAACTGCCGCTGACAGTAACTCCTCCTCAGACAATGCTCAGTATAATTGAGTCTGTAACTCTTCTTTTGGAAATCTATTCTTCCTTAATAATAATGTTCTAGATGCTCATTCCGTCGCTGATCTTAGTTTCTGTCTACCCACTCACAACTGAGAATTATGTTATACAAAGGGAAGAAGAAAAAAGCATTACTGTCACTAAAATGCACAAATAATAATTGAAAAAGATTGCAGGTATTTCTTTTCCTCCTTTGGTTGTGGAATAATTTCGTGTTTCGCTGATTTTAAAGGATTTTTTTTTATCAGTGGTCCACCGAAAATCGTTCTTGCACCATAAAATTCATACAAAATTGTGATTTTTACATTTTGAAACTCCTCCTTTTAGTGTTTTGTTAAATAAATAGGTTTCTCCAAGAATAAAATAGTAAAAGTTTGCAAATTATACTTTAATATTCAGCATATTCGAAAAAAATAATGTGCATCTCTATATGAGTATTTTCCTTGTCATCACTTTTCAGTTAAATAATATTTGTTTTAATTATTATTTTCATTATATCAAATCCTTCTTAATTATTTACATGACTCAATAAAAATGAGCAAAATAAACATTTTAAACAGAAAAAGGCATCTCTAGACAAATTCCTACTAATTAGGCATGTGCAGACTGGGAGCATGTATCAAGCAGTCAGCAACTAATATCAACACTTTTTGAAGTAGCTGTCAACTTGCATATGTAATATTTCATGGAAATGAGCTTCTGTCCATTAGTTCTTGTGCCAGCACACTTATGTTTGTACCATGAGAGAGGCAACTGCTTCTTGTTTCTGCACTGACATCATTCAATATATATGTACTCAATCTCCTTGAACTAGGCAAAAATATGAAAATAAGAATTAAAAAAGAAATTGGATTGCTTAAATCTTTGCCTGAAGTTGAATATATCACAAAACATTATCATAATCATCACCAACTATCAGTTTGTGACAGTGTACTTCCATTGGTGACATCGATCCTGCATCCTCAGATCTGATTAAATGGAAATGGAACTTCTTTGGCCAATGAGCAGGGAGAGGTACACCTTGGACATTTTGTCTATTTATAGGAGGTTAACATAGGACAAACAATCACAACTAAATGGTTTTTTACAAATAAAAATTGAAAAAGCGTGCTCTGTATTTGTATTCATCTCCTGTGATCTCACCAAAAAAGGTCTTAAATTTGAAACTGGATTTTTCTATGTGGAATTTGCATCTTCCTCATATGCATGTATCTGTAAACTCTGTGCACTCACAGTCCAAAAACATAGTAACTCTCTACTATACTGACCTTTGGAATAAGTCTGAGCATGCAATGTTATTTGTCCTATTTGTATATTGATAGGGCTTCTGACTGTGGCCTGCCTCTGGCCAATAACAACTGCAGCAATATACAACATGGAGTGGAAAAACTAGATTTTCCATCATCACAGTCTCCAAATTTAATATAAGATTTGTTTTAAAATCTTAAAGAAGATTTTAACAAAAAGCTGCTAATGTGTTTTTGTTTTGAACATAATTAGCTCCTCAATAAACAACAGGCAGATTAGTTTCTTTGACAAATCTTCACCAAACCAAAAACAAAAAAACATGCTTCATGATGCTTTTTACAGTAAAGCATAAGATTGAAAAGTATTTCACAAGTCTCACATGCACACTTAGTTGTAAGAATTACAACTAGGTACAGCAACTTTTTGTTATGTTTAAAAAGTTAGCAAAATGCATTTACCACAGAGAAATACAAACAATGAAGAAGAATAAAAAACAGAAGAGAAAACTAACACAATAAAAGTTTCCAGAAACCTATGCATTCTAAAAAGAGCACAGACCAGATGCCATGAAAAGTGGTTTAGGAAAACACTCTCAAGAATTTGGGCAGACCAAGCCAGAGTCCAGCCTGTAGCCTAAAATAACAGCTTAGCTTTGGACCTAAAATAAAATAAACAAAAAAAAGAAGAAAAAAAATGTATTCTATGTGAAGAGATCATCAAACTATACCAAACTTTCAGGGTCAATTTTCAGAAGTACATTGCTAGCGTTTTAATTACCAACAGTGAGATGAAAGGTCTGCAAATATCTTAGTCATTGCTGCAAACACATGTAGAAAAATATTTTAGTATATTTTGAGTTGCTGCAAACCAGAGAAATTAACATAATTCAAGTAGTCTATAAACACCTTTGCTACAAAAACCTTTACCCAAAGTTTGCATCTTTATCCACTTGTTTTGATACGAGCTGCTTAAACAACTTTGTCAACCAAATTGAAATAACTTTTGACTCAGGTGAATCCCAATTTATAACACAAACAGTGTTTTCAATTCAGCCTCGTAGGAGGGAACAGTTTTCAAGTTTGTAAACTGTCCAGTTTTTGTATTAATGCATTAAGATACATTTGGTGTTTAAACAAGTAAATTAGGCCTGAATGGGCCTCAGGTATTTGGAGGCTTTAGCTATTCGTGGAAGGCTGTGGTCCCTAATTTCCACAAATACTGAGAGTTCACTGCATTGCAAAATTGCACAAATCTTTAAAAAAAACTTCAAATAACACATTTGAAGTGTGTTATTTGAATAGTTTAGGATAGAAACTGAGGATTCAGTAAATGTTCTCTGTAGCTACAACATTTTACAATGAGAGCTGCAACAAGCTTTAAGTGACAGTAGACTCAAGCATTCAGAGCAGTGAATATTTGCAGTGTGTCTTGACAGATAATGGTACACAGGTGCAGATTACCAAATTTCCATCAGGTAAGCTTGACTCTCGAGAGACCATTGCAAATTTGAGCTTAAACTGAGTCAGTGGACACTAAATGGTGTGTGTCACAGTTTTCTAAGTTGATGGTAAAAAAAACACAGCAGAAGAAACAAGTGAACACATCCAGTATTTGTAAAAGACTTAAGGTGACATGTATTGCTATCAAGTGTTTGGTATTGAACTAAAAAGAAATTTGTTGAATAATTAAAAAGAAATAATGAAATGGAATAATTCCAAAATTAAGGCAGTGTAATTCACCCAAAAAATTAAGACTGGAAATATATCTTTCCAGTCTCCATATATTCAGAATATGAAAACTAAGATGGAAAAAGCAGGCATGCAGAACACCCTGCCAAACTCAGCCAGAAATGTTGCAGTGAATACCAATGGTGACACATTAAATACAGAGCTAAAATTAGCTGAGATGGAACTGTTATTACTTAGCTTATCTGGCAGCCAACGAAACTACTTTTGTACTGTGTGAGAGTCAAGAAGTTTCTTGCCTTCCTATTCAAGGTATGTTAATAATCTTAACTGTAATTTACACTATTACAGTTAACATCAAAAACACAATAAAGATTTGTTTTAGCAATGTAAGTTTAAAAACAATTCACTAAAATACCAGATTTTTTTTGTAGCTTGGTTCATTTTAAAAATCTTTAGTCTGTTGAACATTCAAAAATAAATATCAAAATCCATGGTGATTTTTTTTAACTTGTCCCCAATCTGCAACACCAAGTACCAAACAAACTAAAACCACAGAAAACCTTGAGCTAAAATTCCTAAAACACGTGCATATTCAGTACTATTCTATGCAACATTTTGCAAACCAAAACAAATCTTGTTCAATCTCAAGGATGTGCTGTTCTTCATTGGCTGCATACTTTCTGCAGTCTTTAAACCTTCTGCTCTCTAACCCTAACAACATCAACTTGTTGGACTATTTTTATTTATTTTTTTACACATTTCTTATTTCGATGGTCAAAAAGAGGTGCTGGTTTCTCGTACAACAGTCAGTGCAATAAAGATGACCACCAGCCGCTCCTGCTCCCACCACTGGTTACTGTGGGAGTGGATGGAATTTCAAAGTCCAGCCAACTGTCTCAGAAGCATGTTGTTGGCTCTGTAATGTATGTCAGGAACAGAATGAGCCAATGTCACATCTCTAAGGCAAGATGTCTGGGGCCAAAACAAGAACATAAATAACTGTACAAAAAAAGAGAATACTTGTCAACTGATGTCAGTAGAAAAACAGCATCTATCTATTAGCTCTATAAGCCTAGCAATTATAAACATGTATTTTGATCGTTTTTGCTTTCTATTGGACAGATTGAAAGCCAATAACAAAAAACATTTATGTGTGTCAATATGAATGTTTGTTTGCTGAGAAAGTCTGATGCAACATGAATATTTAATTAATGACACCTTCAATATTAATCTTCTTTTGTTGTAGCTACTTTTAGAGTTCAAGCACCACACATCACCATTAAAACAAAGACATTATGGAATAAGGAGCAACAAAAAGCCATCTTCATTACTTAAAAACATTAGCCTGTAGTGATATATGACCATTTTAATCAGCAGAACAAATGCAAACAGACAGTAAATGCAAATAGATTCACCTTCATTAGCAATGCAAGAAATGAAACTATTACTGGTGCTTATTTGCACTGTGTTGAAACATCTATGTTGTGTTAAATCAACTTTTTTACCAGGTTTGCTGAATATTTGTGATGTGGCACTGCAAAACCAGGAACAAGTCACCAGAGCATAAATGGAGAGTAAGGATGAATACTGACTAACTTCTCAGAAAATAGTAATTGCTGTTTTTGTTTTTGAAAAATGCTAGTTATAAAGAAACCAACCCATGCTTTGAATGACATTTTCAGATATTTTAAAACAGTACATTTTTTATTTGAATTCAGCTTGGTTTTAGATTAAATCTGATCTGTTTCAGGAAGATGGGATAAACTTTCATTGTATTGTTTTTAAAACACAATTAGGACACATGTAGCACAGGCACACAAATCCCTGCACTGCTGTGGCTCTAATAATATGCTATGACATTGACCAGGTGGGTGAGCATCTGGTGACTGCAACACCAGACTATTTATATAATTATAAATAATTAATTAATTAATTAATTTTCTTTAACCTGGAAAACAAAGTTTAGATTATGGTATTTATAATTGTCTTGTGCTTATTGAGTCGGGTCGTATATTTATTTAGTCATGGTTTAATTCCACTAAAGTTTAGAGTCCATGATAAAGGTTCACAACACAGAAGCTCATACCGTTATTGGAAAATGGAACAAATGCTGAAACTTCTAAAAAATATATATATTTCTTAAACAAGACAAACCAGGCAAATAATTTATTTTATCTGCCAAATTCTCAATCATACCTGCTCACATTTAATAACAACATCAATGAACAGCCTTTGTTAACATCCCCAGAGAGCTCATCAGGCAAGGGGACAAACTTTGAGGATGGTTTTTTCACAAATCTTGTTTGCAGAATGTTAGCATTCAAATAATCATATCTTCTTCATCTTTGTTTTTCTATTTGTTTGGCATCATTAGAAAGCTTGGAATCCACACTTTCAGGATATGTTAATGCTGCTTATCGCTGAAGTTTGGGCGCTTGGGCATACGCCAGCTGAAGGTATACCCTTTGTTTTTCTTATGAATATATATCTCTTTTGGTGTATTTCTGCCAGTCATACAGTAGGAGATTTTCTCTTTTCTGTATGATTTAGATAAGAACATCATACAGCAATCCTGCAGTCAAACTAATTAGAATCAGGGATAAATACCAACCTTTGGGAGGGGAGGAGTTGGGGGGCATTGTGGAGGTGTGGTGTGAGAGAGAGAAAGAGGGCAGAGACCAGTGAATCAGACTTTTAGGCTAATTCATATAGTGCCAAAGCAGAGATTTGATTACTTTGCATAGTGTGTCAGGAGAGTTAATTATCCTAATTCAACAAAGTGAAAATGAAGGAAACTTGGACAGGATCTGGCAGAGGACAAGAACAGAGTGGAAAAAAAACAGCTTCAGACAGTTTCACTTGACTTTGCAGCATTCTCTTTCCATTTGGTTCCAAAAATGAAGAAAAAAAATTCTCCTTTTGTACATTTGTAAGTATTTTTCAGTGGGACCCAAAAGAAGTAATGCAGATTGCAAATTAGGAACATAATTTCCATATCAAATTTAAATTATATAGAAGAAAGGGAGAACAGTTAACCAGTTAAAAAGTAAAGTTTGAAAAAGTTACAGCAAAGGAAAGCTGCCTTCTATCTCCAGTGTATATGCACATGCTGCTGCAGAAAACAGAGACAGTTGAGTTGAATGTGAGTCAGAGTGGAAGTAAGCGTTGGCCACCAGTTTATCAGAGGCCCAGGATTGGAGCATAGGGGTTCAGTTGGGGCCTCATTAAGATAACTAACAGCCGGACACTGTAGAATAGCCTGAGGAGAAAATTGTGACTTAATAAGCTGTGGTATTTTATGGGTTAATCGCTCCACATGTGAGCACACTGAATTTATTGTTCTGCAAAAATAAAGAAACAAAGCTTTGTGTGCATAAGGTTGCAAATGTCACAGCAGGGATTCCAATAGTTATTGCTCTTGTCACATCAACCTATATGATAAATAAAAAACATACAAAATCATACAAAAAAGAGTAATAAACACTGTCACTATGCTTGAAACAGGTTTACCTATACAAAATTAAAGAGATCCATATACATTAGAAGACAACAATATATTCTGATGCCAAACATATTATAGTGAAAATGTGCAGCATCAAATAACCATCACAAGTTTTATATAACACAAGTTTTCCTAATGCTTTACAAAACTGATCATTTGCAGTTCCATCCTTTGTGGGTTTTGTTGGTCTTTCCATGCCCACATGGAATGAATTCATAAAAATGAATTCATTGAAACAATGAAAGCTCATTCAGTTGTTTAAATATAATCATGACAAGTATAGTGAACTTTAGATTGTTCAAAATCAATTCAAGTCAGTTGGTTCACTGGACTGATTTACAGGCACTTCTACAAAAAAAGACTACAATACAACTTGAATCACACACACACACAAAAAAACTTTAATCTCTCTCCTGTTATGTATGTCAGTCAAACAGTTGAAGAAGGAGAAAAGAGAAAATTATCCAACCATTAGAGGTTCTGAGGAGATGTTGAAGAGAGGCTTGAGGAAAGTTTTAAAGGTAATAATTATATTGTCACAAAAGGAAGAGCCAGAAAGACTAATTATCATATAAAATACATGCATGAATCTGGTTTTTCTTTTCCACAGGAAAGCAGTCATACTGTCATTTTAATGCAAAAGGCAGAGTTTACACAAAGAAATTATGTAGAAGGTCTTGTTTTCAGCACTGATTGGATTCATACATTACCATTTTTCTTCCTTATTCACAAAGGAAATAATTTAAAAAACATACAATACTCAGTTTTACTGCATTTGTTTACCAACTAGTCCTTTATGACTTTCTAAGGTCCAATCTTAACGGTAATGATTCTTGTTAAAATTTTCATAACTCTTGAACTTTTTCTAATGTATTCACTTTACAACCACAAACTTCAGTCTATTTCATTTGATGTTTGTGTAAGAGACCAATTTAGGCAAGTACAATATTATGAATAGGGAGCAAAACAATACATTTAAATGTTAAAAAAGAACAGTATGGCAGGTGTTTGTATTCAGCTGCATTTATTCTGATAATGTTAAATATCCAGTATTACCAAAAGCCTTTAAAGGTCACCCAACAGGTAAACATTCAACACCTGCACACCTCCTGCAGAGGTCAGTAATTAAGTTGTTAAAACATTTTCTGCATATTCTTTGCATTTGTAAATGCAAAGAATATGGCATCCTGGAAAATAACCTGTTACCAAATTTAGAAAGCTTGAGGCGCAGGTTCAACCAGACAAAACTCAATAACAGGCAGAACTACAAAAAAGGGTGTGGATCAAAATATATCCTTGGCTCATGCAAGGTCCAGATCTAAATCAAGTTGAAATCTGTGGCAAGAGTTAAAGGTAAAGCTCCACAGATGCTTTCCATTAATGTGACCTTGAGCCATTTTCAGCCATTTGAAGAAAAAAAGGGAAATAAATTTAATGTGCACAGCAGGCAAACTTGCACCGAAAGACTTTCTGCCATGAGTGCAGAAAAATTTGGATCTACAAAGTATTGATACAGTAAGTTTTCATGCATGCCATACTTTTAATAGTCCTTATTCATTATCAATCTAGAAAACCAAGCATCATCATCTTTTCACAAAGTGACAACGGTTGTAAAAAATCTGAATTTATATAAAATGAACTTTTGACAAAAATTAATACTGCAGACTTAGCTACCAGTATACTGTATGTGTCCCTGTCTGTAGCTTCAAACTCGGCTCGCTGAATTCATTATATTCCATAAATCCCTAATTTAACCATATTTGAATCAGTACAGGTAGATAGAGTGAGAATATATCTCTTTAAAAAGACTCTAACGTATGTATCTTCTTTTTAAGGGCTATATTCACACATGTCCTTGAAGAGCCTGATTTGTAGACAACAAATAGGAGTTCTGGTCCTAATCCAAACTCTGCCAGCACTATATTTAATTGATCTTCTCTTAACAGAAATAAAGGTTTCTTATTTAAATTTCTGTATTTTTAAATGCTTATTTTTATAGTTAATTTTAAAGTAGGTATAATGGAATCATCATACTCTTTTCTATTTTACTCTGCCAGGATAAACAATCCCTCCCTTGATAGAGAAGGCCTTCACTTTTATAAGATAAAAGATCACGAATCAATACCATTGTGCATTTATTCAGACCAACACAAGTGAAACCATTTAAATGCAATCTCACTACAGATGGGGAGCGGACATCATGGGCACCACAGAGCATATTTTCAATTAACTCACATCAACTGGTGCCTCTAACACACATTGGTCAAGTCAAGCTGAAATGCACCAAGCCAGGACATGATAGTAGATTCCAGCCTCAGAGAGGTTTTATAGAAGAGTGAACTCTTCTCAATGGAAGAGGTTAAAAACGATTGCTCAGTGCCTGATCTTGGTAAGTTGGATGCCATCCAGACAGATAGTGTTTTTTTGTTTGTTTCTTTTGACAGAAAACTAACGGGTTGTACATTTCTTAAAGTGTATCTGACAAAACGTGTGTTGTCCTTAAGGCTCCTGAATGGTGCTCTAACTTGTAAAAAGTGCTCATATTTGGTTGGTTTCAACACAATGTTACTAATCTAGGGATGATTGACAATTATATTTTATATGATATTAAATATAAATTTGCATATTTTATGTCAGGAGAGACTCCATGTTAAGAGATGCAATTTAATGATTCACAGTATCCAAATTGATCATGAGAGGTTAATTTAAATAGAACATCAGGTGACGTGATACAGGTTGACCTCAATACAAATCTATCATTTGGTTACTGGAATAATTGCTACAGTTGAATCTGTATGGCTAAAAATTGTCAACTGAAAAAAATAATCTTTAATATGTTGGCTGCATGTTAAAGACTGAGTATCCTTGAGATAAGAAACTAGCTTTAAGGCCCAGCTGACTTCAGGCTTGAAATTTGTATCTTACTTTTAGTCAGTGTGTTACAAAAAGTTACAGTCAATTCTGGAACAAACCCCTTTTAGCCAATTTTACTATTTAAAGGTGACATCGGGGACAATTGATGTGTCTCACAAATCACTCCCTCCCCAAATATGCTAAGCAAGAGGAACTTTGTGGCCAAAGAGTTTCCTTAGCTAAATCTAGCTAATCCTTGTGTGTGTATGTACCCTGAGCCTGAACACAAGGAATTTAATGAACATGACAGCATGTACCAGAAAAGTCCACAAAGGTCTTGTCTTTCTCACAGTTTACCAACTGCTCTATCTTGTGCAAACCTCATAGTTGTACATACACACGGTAAATTATGTTTCTCCAAAGATTTGTGTAAATTCTTTGGTAAAGAGCATTGAATTTAGGTTTATATCTGCACCATGTGCCAATATGATTCTAAAACCAGCAATAAAATCGAAGTTAATGTGTGATTTCTGATAAATGCTTTGACTTCTCTTGTACAAACTTGCAAATGATGCAAAATTTGTCTCTCTTTCAAGTTCATTTAATATTTTATCTGTGGGAGTGAACTTTTTTTTTTTAATTTCTTGCATTATATGTTGCAAGTTTCTGTGAGAGACTTGCAACATTAGCAAACACCACAAATGTTGCAATTAGAAAACACACATGAAGACCAGTATAAAGTTCAGGAGTCAAGTTGTTGAGAAGCTTAAGGAGGTAACAATAACCCAAACTTTAAATATCTAGAGGAGAACTGTTCAAGTTGTCTTATGAAAGTGGATGGAGTATTGGAGATTTGATTATTAACCTAAACATTCAGACCAGACAAGCAGAAAAACTAATCAGAGAAGCAGCCAAAAAGGCAATTTTGGGAGAACATGTTGGAATATCTCTAGTCTACACACTTGGACCTTGATAAATCTCATGTCTATGGAAGACTAGCAAGAAAAAATCCATAAAAATTCAGCAAAAGGTCATGTTTATAGTACACAAATAGAAATGTGAAAGAAGGTGTTCTGGTCAAATAAGACAAAAATGAACATTTTGTGTCAATTGGTTCTTTTTCCCCCCTTTCTGATTAGTTGCCTGTATTGGCAGAATGTTGCATGCAGTTGCAGCATTCTGCCTGCTGGCTCCGCTGTGGGAACTGGAGGTGGACCTCCTCCTGATTATCACTTCCTGTTTGAAGCCTCCAGCAGAAGAAGCTGGATCCTCAGCTGGTGTGTTGACCAATCCCAGAAGAGGTATTCTTAAATGCTTGATCTCTGACTTAGCAGCACACAGAAAATGCAATTATTACTTTTGTTTGAGCAGCTTGCCTCTTGCTTCGTGTCTTGATAGTTTTGACTTGGTGTTGTATTTTGCCATCTTTATTTGAGCTAAGTTCTGTTTTCTGTTGTTTTTTTTTTTGTTGTTTTTTTTGCTTTATTTCACATGTACTTCTCTAATATTCTGGATATGATTTTTGTTTATTATAAATTTTCACCATTGACTTGTAAAGAGCAGTAAACAAAAAACATCTTTACTGTTAAACACTGTTAAACCACTAATAATTACCATATTTGGGGAGGGAGTGATTTGTGAGACACATCAATTGTCCCCGATGTCACCTTTAAATAGTAAAATTGGCTAAAAGGGTGGAAAAATAATACTGATCATCACTAAATACATTTATGTATAAAAATTTAACACAATGCATTGAATTATCAATTATTCTCTACTTTGTATTGCAGTACACAAAGTGTGCAATTAAGTTCATTTTAACATGATAAAATTTCCAGTATTATGAATATTTTTTCAAGGTGCTATGATCAAACTTACAAAAACTCATTGTTTGTGCTGACTCAGTTCTGATGCTTTCTCGCCTTGATCTCTGACTTAGCAGCACAACAAGCATGGAAAAGGCCTGTGATTTAGAGGGGAAAATAAAATTTGGCATGAGTTGTCCCATTTTATTCCTGGCTGTCCTTTTAGATTTGTTATAATAACTAAGGTCACTTTACTAAGTAGGTGCCCTTCATTTTGTCCATTAATTTGGCAAGAGAATGCAAAATTATTAATGTGCTACAAATATAGAAGGTGGACTGATGGGACAAATGGACAACACAAACACAAATCAAATCAAACACAAACATTAAAGAGTTCATAGAAGAACTCAACTTGGACCCTAATATTTGCACTTACTACGGTCTTCCAGTCCTCTTTTTTTTAATTGTATATTTCCCTCCTGGGAATGTTCAGTGCCTGAGAGATACTGAAAACATATACTTTTCAATAACATTTTCTCTGATTTGCTTGGAGGTTTCTTTTGTCTTCATGTTGTAACAGCAGCTAGCAATACTGATTACTTACAGACACCAATGTCTTTATACTGCAATTACTTAAGACATACTTACTGCAATTAGGTTCTGTCTATTTCAGTAGTTGTGAAGATCCTAGCACAAATTTGCTAGATTTTTAAATCACTTTAAATAAGTGATTTTAAAAAGTGGTTTACAAATTATCACTGATTTGTAAAAGCAGAAAAAAGGGTAAAATATACAAGGAGGTGAATACTGTGCAACACGGATCCCAGAGCTCCCTTCTATGCATTTTATGCACACATGTGCACATGCACAGTTTTATTGCTCTGTTACTGTGGATTTAAGTGTATGCAGAAGACAAGCAAGTTTTGTCTTGGCTTGCAAACTGATTACATGAGCTTCTCAATATGTTAGATGAAAAACTGTGAGATGTGAAGCTATTCTTTATATAGTTTTTCACATTTTTATTCAACTGAAGAAAAAGTTTAATATAGACAAACGGTTTAACTAGAAGCGAAAGCACAAAAACAGCATAGACACAGAACATGTGTCCTCACAGTCACATATAACCATATACACACACGTGCACACACACATGCACAGAGTAGGGCAGTAAATATTGCTGGGCGGAAATGGAGGTTTTATGGTTTCATTTGGTCTGTTATATTTATCTGACCCTTCATGTCCCCTCTCTTACACACATATTGATTATTCCATCTCTATTTTGATAGAAGGTGTGACATTAAGGTCAAAAGGGATGCTGACTGTTTTCCTTTCGAACCAAAAACAAAATGTAAATGGTAAAAAAGTTCACAACATTTGCATTACACCTGAGAGCTGGTCAGTACTGCCCTTTCCCTGCTCTTCTGGCTGCTAAGCAACCACGAGGCACATTGAAATCACATGATTTAGAAAAACTCAATAGTGCACAATGGTTAAACTACTTCCAGCTGTGTCACATATGTGGAGTTGGGAAACCTGAAACCTCACAAAATATCTCCCTGCAATATTTCAAAGTAATGCAAAAAGACAGCATAGACCCTATGAATGTAACACAGTGACAGAATCAAACAGCTATTAGGAAAAGATCACAATTCACATAATATGAGAGAGACAGAGAGCTCAACTTCTTTCCACTGCATGAATTGCTGTAAAAGTTTAATTAATATATGTTTATTGCATTATTTGTCTCCTGGCAAACCATGGCAAGCCAGCCTAATTTATCTTCCTGAAAGCACTTATCAAATATGTTTAAGTGCTACTATTCACACCTCCCAGATGTTTTAAAGTGACTGAAGAAGTTTCACCTTCAACTCAGTCAAGGCCGTCTGTGTTCAGAATTTCACAGAACACTGACAATTGCCTTGAGGGTAGCAGTAGTAGTTGTTTGTTGCTGGACACATAAAACAGATCTGACCTTTAACACTGCAGCAGTGCCAAGAATGAGTTAGATTCAGAAAATCTTGATAAAATGCCAAAAAGCAAAGTAGAACACTGAATCTGAACTTTTTCTCATCGGTATTTATACATATTTTTGTGATTGTCTAGTAGAGATAAAATGGTAACCAAATCTTTAAAGTTGCACTTGGAAATGTTATAGGCCGGCAAGGTATAAAGCAAAGAATGTTATTTCTGTAATTCTTACACTATGCCAAAAAAAAAAAAAATCCACCCAAATCTCAGTTTACCGATAGGCATCAGATAAACCTGTCATCTCCAGGTCAGACAGACATGTCAAAACATCAAAAAAGAAGAAAAAATGAATCTGGGTTCAAACACTCCTACACAACACTGCCTCAGTTAGCCTCCAAGCTTCTTTTCTCTATTCGCTCCACTATCAGGTCTTCTGGGGGGAAGGGAAACCCATGAAATGATTCCTGACACTATGGATCAGAGCGCAGTGCCAGCTGAGACGTCTGATATCAACACTTTTCTGCCTGACTGTGAACATGTAACGTAGGAGAATTTCCACTGATTTCTGCTGCCAGAACTGTGTCTTGTCTGCACACTAATGCTGGCCCACATTAAAAGTCCACCTACTGAAAACACTGTGACATGGTAAACTGATAGCTCTCCATTCTTAGATACTGAATTGAACTAGATTGACATCACTACAGTGTATAAATCGCACATTTATTGCGATTATACATCACTGTATGAAATATGCACCTTCAACTGCTTGGACTGCAATAAATCTTAGCTAATCATTTAAGTACAGTCAGAATTCAGATTCTGATTGCTTCTAATATATTTCTGGACTTTTGTTGCAGAATCTTTAGAAGGTAAAGAGGTGGAGCTGGAAAATGCATTTGGAATGAGTAATAATGCTCCGGATAAGGGTTGGGACATTTTACATGCAGTGGAAAATCTCTTGTGGCCTTCATTTAGTATAAATCTAGATGACTTGACCCTGCAGGCTGAAGCTACAGACTATATAAGTTAGGCCAAGAAAAAGTAGACTTCTAGTGTTCTTATCATGTAGTCAATGCGTTTCATCAGTTAGTTATTCTGACCCTAAAACCTTTTTGAGATTAGAGGGGTTTAAGACCATACAAGTGTGCTTTGGCCTTTCAATAAAGTGAAGACATTTCTGGAAAGAATAATATGGGTATTTTTCTGAAAATTACAAAAAGAATTGTCTCTGAAAATTCAATTTTCTGAAGGACAAGGCTACTCAAAAATGTGTTGCAGTTGCTTCAGCGCACTCTTTTGTCTCTTCTCAGTATACTTCAAAGCAAATGAAGTGGAAAAGCAAAAGGAAGCAGAGTCAAAGACTTTTTTTTTTTTTTACGTTTTTCTGTCTGCAAATGAAAAATATGTTACCTTCAAGGATGACTTCTTTTCCAGTTTTTTTTAGCGCTTGCACAGCCTCGTCGTGCGTGGCCTCCCGTAAGTCAAAACCATTGACAGACAATATGGCATCCCCAACGTAAAGTGCCTCTGTCTGGTCAGCTGCAAGGCCTTTAAAAATTTTTGAAATGAGAATGGGCATTTTGTTTTCCTTTCCACCTGTGTGAGAAAAGAGAGAACATATTCTTACTTCATTTTGAAAATAATTCAGGAATACTTTCAGTAACAACCCATTAACCTTGGCACAGTACAACTCATAAAAATTTGAACAAAATCAATTATTAAACTCTTTCATATTACACAATCTAAATATACATATTTTAAAATGTCCTTAGCAATTAACAGTGAAGGTGACAAAATCTCAGAGGGCTTAGTTGTTAACTCACAAAACAAGGATCATGAGTGGCAAGTAAGAAGCTGAAATTCTAAATTAAGCCCCGTCCCACAACTGCTATTACTCTGACTGCTGTACTCCTCATATTTAAGCCTCTAAATTAAGGGTATGTACGTGAACTGCAGTTAAAAGCACACAAAGACAGACATTTAGTAGCAATTACTCCCAATGTACTAATTTCAGCAGCTTCCTATTGCGCTCTCTCCCTCTTTTTCGCTCTTTGTCGTTAAGCGAAGGTCAGGTAGTACGTCAGTGTATCTACTTGTTGCTGTAGGCTGCCACTCTTCACGAGAAATGTCACTATTAACGTGAGATGGCACTACAGCCTTCCAGCAAGTAAAAAAAATCTAAAAAGGGGATTAGATTCCATAAATTTTTTAATACATCTTGAAGAGGTTGTGTCTTCAGGGTTATTCCTTTCAATTTATTCCACAGACTGCAGTGCAAAAGTTTTAAATCATCCCTTCTCTCTATAGATTTTGCTTCAACAAAGACAAGCTTTCAAATACAGTAATGTGAAAAAATGTTTTGTATCAGAATTGTATTCATTCTGATACAAAAGGATACTAAATGAGCATGTTCAGCCATTGAGTCATGCTCACACATGAACACTTGGGTTTTTCAACAAAACAAAAGTCCAAAGAACACTAACTACCAAATCTGCCTCTGAATGGCTCACGGTAGCCAAAATAATGGTTTGATGTAGTCAAAGTCTGGATCTTAATCCAACCTTAAACTGGTCATTCAAACAGCTTTAGTGTTCCTGAATAAAACCAAACCTGCAAGAGTATAGCCAAGATTTCTCCATGTAAAAGACATGGAAAGATGTTATAACACATGCTCTACAGCAGTTACTGCCACCAACGGCACAACCAGTTATCAAGGCTAGGGGGCATTTACTTTTACCACCTCGGGCAAAGTTGGTTTGAATCACTTTTCTTTCTTTAAAAGTAACCTAATGATTTCAAAACTGCTTTTTATATTTAGTGAGGTTATCTTTGACTGATAATCATAACGTAATTGACCATCTTAAACTTGTGAAAACAAGCTAAAACAAAGCAAAATTGCAAAGGGAAAATATTCATCAAACTGTAATCTTAATAAGCCTCCTGCCAAATCACTTTATGTTTTCTTAATGTTTCTTTTTTCATCCTAGTACCTGACCCTTTGTTGTTGTTGTTATTGCTTTGTTCAACCACAGTACTCAGAGGAATGAAGCTGAAGCTAATGTAAATGAGTGGGCAGTTAACAGTTGAGGAAGGCACAGCTCCTTCACACAAGCTCAAAACCACAATGAATCAGAATTAAAATCAAAAGAGAAAATTCACGTTAAAATTAAATACTTCAATACATAAAAACTTTCACGCACATCAACAAAATTTCTTGTATTTTGTTTTGTCCTGGATTAAGCTTTGCCACAAAAACAGGGAGGCACAAACAAAAACCCAGGGACAACTAAAAAAGACCAACACTCATATCTACAGCTAGATTACGATTTGAGCATGTCATAGAACTGTGGTAGGAAACTGGGGCAAACAAAGAAGACTTGCTATTATGCATTCACATTCCCCCCAGAACAGTTCTTCCCTTTGACTGCCTCACCCATAAAGCAAAAGTATGAAACAATACTGTTGGACCAGATGGTCCATGTTTAAAAGAAGCACTTCACAGCTGCAGTGTGGGAACATTTTGGGCTAGTGCCAAATGAGAGGGGAGAGTTACACAGTCCTAAATCAACTAAAAATAAAGATAAATAAAAAAAAACTGTTTTTTTATACTGCTTAAAAGATATTTCATGGCTTGAAAGTGACTATCATCATACCACTTGAAAACTGAAATCAACTTGAAATTACCTATGACCCTTTTTCCACCACTGTCACCTAGACATAATTTGATAATTTCTCATATTTCCATTAGGCAACTGGTTAAATAAGAACAACACTCAACTGGAAAGGGTGTGCTGCAAAATTTGAAGAAAACAAAATACGTTTAAATTAACTATGCATGGATTTTGAACTTTTTATTATGTATCTATCTTTTTAATATATTTAACTATTAAAATTAGTAGGCATAGTTTTGATTTGGGGTTTTTTTCTGGTTCAAAATGTAAGTAAACCCAGATAAAATGACATCTAAGTATAAGTGCAAAAAGGGGGTACAAAAAGACTAAGGGGAAAACTGACTCAGAAACAGCAGGTGAACTCTGACATTTATTAAAGCTGACATTACTTTGGGTCATCTTATGTCACTAGAGTGCTAATCACAGCACTTTGCCAGCTGCACTTCTCCTTTCCTCTGGACAAGTAGGAAAACGGAGTCTTGCTCCTTTGAGTCAGCAAGAAGATAACAATGCAAGAAGTATCAGAGTGACAAGGGAGTGCCATTTGTGGCAAAATAATTTTACAACAGCTGTAAAATGAATGCAGGTTCAAATAAGACTGTAGCTGAGGTAAATAAATGCGAAAGGCAGCATGAGGTAAAGTCTTGTAAAGTATTCTCACAAATTTTACTATGTTTTGGTCAAAAGGTTTAGATTTTCAAAACAACTGTAATATCAAGAAACTGCAGAATGCAGATATCAAAAGTAAGTAATTGCCTCTAAATGTAATGACATGTGGTGCCACCCTTTGGCAGCAAATAATGGCAGCAATAATTATCCTTCTTAAGTTGTCAGTGTGCTTTTGGAGAAAATGTGTTAGGCGCACCCATCCTGGAAAGCTTCAGCAATTTTACATTATATTTTCAGCATTTTAGGCAAAGGCTCTTCCTGTTCTTTGCTGTAGTCCTAAAACTTTAAAAATGGCAGTGCACTCCTTCAAGCGTATGGAAATCCATTACTTTATTTGACATTAGTCCTCAAATTAAATCAAGCTATTATGAGTAATATGTCCATCCCCATATTTAAGGTGTAGGTGGCTACTGACATTTTACTCATCTATAACTGATTAACAAAATGTTGTTAACAAAATGTTGTTAATCAGTTATAGTTTTGATTTAAAAAGATGGTCAATTACTTTTTTGTTTAAGGTCAGTTGTGATAATTTTTTTCTATTCGTAAATTTTGTTTGTCTGAAACATACAAGTGTGCTAAATAAATCTGTAAAAATATGTTTGTTTTAATGGCACTGTTTACACTTTAACCTTTTCCTTGCTTTATCATTTGTGTCCTCTTGTCATGTACTTTGATGTTTTTTCTTTAGTCTTAAATATAATTTACTGAGATGACTGGTGAATAAATAGCTTTGACATATTTCAGTGAAAATAACCATTATTATGAGCACCACATTTATCAACGTTGTATGTTATTGCTTTCCTTTCTATAGCTTTTCATATCAAATACTGTACTTCAGCGCCTTCAGGCTGGCGACCTGTCAGTCAGCTGACAGGTGGGTAGCAGTTGTGAAGATAAGGTGGAGCTACTGGAGCTACTCATGACAGGTAATTGAACTGTATGACATGCACAGTACTGACATGGGCCTAATTAGGTAATTTTGTGCATGTTGGGAGAGAACTCCTGTCACAACCGTTGCATAGTCAGCACTTTCAACTTTATTGGACAAGTTTCTTACAGACTAATGAAAAGCAAAGCAAACATCAAACAATGGGTTTAAGACAATGCTTCCAAATATTATGAAGCAGCCATTGTTTCCTTCAAGGTCACTAAAACGATGACTAGGATAGTTTTTTTGTGTGATGTTTACGAGTTTGGCTTAGTTTTTAAGTTCTGTTGCATCTTATTTTGTTGGGAAACCCCTTGTCCTGAACATGCGAAGCTTACAACAACAGAAAAAATCCCTTAAAAGGTCAGCAGAAAAATTTTTTCTCACTAAGAAAAGTGCCCTGATCCAGAGACCAGAAGTCTAGCTTCCCAGCCTCCCCTCTTAAATTTAGACATGCGAGTAAAGGTTGCCTCAGTTCTCTTCTGCAAACTGGGGTGGGCTCCCTAAAATTAACACCAGTGGAGTACTCCACTCCCAGCCACATAGCTTTCATCTTAGGCCAATGACAACTGACTGCTGTGGACTGCTCCACTCAGCTGTTCACAATGTGGTGTCAGCTAACCCACAACAACTTCTTCCCTCTTTCATTTGCATTTCCCTGCTTCAGTCTGACACCTTTCCCAACGTTTTTCTTCCTTTCGTTCTTTCTCATTTCATTTCTTTGGCTTATTCCGTACCCCATCTAATCTGCAGCAGGCTCTTTGCGCAACTTTGCTGCACTTTTTCTTCTTTGCGTTGGCGCAGCCAGCATCACAACAATGTCAAGCCAACAGCCTGCCAGCTCTGACTTCATCTTAATAACATGCTGTCTCATTTTCATAACCACCCATTTCTGAAAAGACGGACATTGCATTTATGTCACTAGGGCCCAGATTTGTTTTGTTGTTGCTGACAAAAGTAGAGGGGACTAAACGAGCATTTTCACAACGATGAACCATTTCTGCAGCATGACAATAGCACAAGTTTACAACAATCCATCAAGCGGACCCTGTGCATCAGCCGACACTCAGCAGTCAAATGATTACCCATGAGAATAAAGTTTGCAAGAGGAAGAAGTAGTAGCTTACTCCAATGCAAGTTCAAACACATACTGCGTACAGTCAAGATAAAAGTAAAACATTTCTTATCACACATTTACTGCATTGTTAGACTACTGCACACACCACTACTTAAAGTTTCTTGGCACAAACAAATCACAGGCAAAGAAACTGAATATACTAAACTATTATTTAGTGGAAAATAACAGTTTTGTGCTAAATAGCACAAAGTTGCAATAAACTCGCAACAAAACACATATATTAAACTTCTGTCCCTTTTTTATTCTTATTGTTTTAGAGAGTGTTACAATTATAAGATGCTAACTTCTAGGAAAAACAATTCAAATTAGGTCGACCATAATAAGTGACAGACCATAAAATGGGGCAATTTATTGCTGAACATAAGTTGTGATAAATGATAACAATGTTGCATAGAGACCATTTTCAAGTAACAATGTTAATGGCATAATAATGCAAGAACAGATTAACAAAGATCAACAAACCTTAAAAACGAATGAATATTTCACACTGGAACAGGAAGACTTCTTAAATATCCAAAATAAATGGAAATTGTTGAGCACATTTTAATTTATCATGCTATTAATTGATTTATATTAGTCTGTTATTTTATCATTTATGTAGTCTTCCAAAGTTCACTCCTTCACTTCTTCTCTTCTTCTCATCTTGTCTCAAAGATAATGCAGATCGAAGAAAAAGGATGATTAAAAGGTTTTTATTGGCAGCACAGCACTACAAGAGAATGCTAGCTTTCCTATAGAGAGATCACTCTTACCTCAGAAAAGTTAAAGATGCAACATTGCAACACTGTGATGTGCATCAGTAGTCTGTGCAGCTGCTTCTATCTTTTTGTACATTTAAAATAAACAATAATCTGCAAAAGGCAAAGAATGGCTGTCCATTTATTGTGAAGATAGCTGTTTATATCATGTTGTTAACCAGAACTTAAAAAGGTGACACTTTTATATGTGACTGCTTTAACAATTTTCTACACAGTAAAGTGGTGCAAATGGGAAGAAAAGGGAAATCACTATGTTCTATTTACAAAAAATGAGAAAGTCTTTTTTGCATCTGTTGACTTGGAAATTAGTTCCATTTTTAGCATTTACAGCTAAATAAGAGAAGACTTTTAAAACATCAATGGCAAAAATAAAGGTGTGTTTTCATAGGTTTTTGCACTGGTTAAAAAAAAATAAAAAATCATATCTCCAGCATCCATTTTGTGGGAAGGGCCAAAATCTGGAATGCAGCTACCAACTTTCTGTTCTCCCTTATTTTTTTCTTTTGACAGAAGATTCGCTTGGACCAGAGATTCTATGTTTGACTTTGTCTCTTTTTGAACAAAGCTCTCAAAGAAGCTACTTCACCCAATAAATAAACATATTCTCTAAAGTTGAACGTATGTAAGTGTTTTTTTTAAGAAGAAACTTATAGTTTCTTCTTAACTTGTAATTGATGCACTAATTTGCCAACAAATTAGTGCACCAACTTTCTGTTTCCCATTGAAACTACTTCAGGACTAGTGCTTCTCTATCACAAATTAATTTATCTGAAAATGAGTTTGTAATTATGACTGAATTGTGAATTCTGTGTGCTTACTTGTCATAAAGACAGTGTTAACCACACACCTTTACAAATGCAAAGTGTAAAGAGCTTCCCAGCCTTTCCCTTAGTTTAATTTGACTTTTATTTATTTATTTATCTTGTTATGACATGTTACCCAAGACTGGCCCAAGGCACAAGTAAGCTTAGGAGCTGTTTAAGGCTCCTAAGCAGAGGACCCCTAAGAACACCACAGATATCACTGGGATCAGGTTTGCAAAAGGGTATCTCATCAGCACACACTCATTTAAAAATGTTCATCCTCTCTGCGAGTATAAAACATTCAGAAGACCTATTTTTTGTAAAAGCGACAAAAAAATATTTAAATTTTCTTAAACATATTAAAAAATATAATTCTCCTAAGTGTCATGAGTGAGTCTGAAAGCAGGAAATGTGAAATAACTTGTGAGTCTTTTGCAATTAAAGGTTCAGTATGAAGTCAAATAATTGATTTCTCTTTTGTTTACTTATTAGTGTATACTTTGCAGGGATCTGCGAGAACCACAGCGGCCCAGGAATAGCAATAATCCTTGAACATTTAAGAGGGCTTGTAGCTGCCTGTTTTTGTAGTTCAAATATTAAATACTTCAATATGCATAAATCAAATTTAGATTAGACTACCTTCAGCGTTTTACAAATTGCAGACATAAATGCAGGGGGAACACTGCTCAAGTACTTGGAAAAACTAGGCTTTTGAGTTAAAAAAAAAAAAAGAGTTCAATCAACTCATTCTGAAAATGCATTCTGAAAAAATATGGACATGGAAAGAAGTAGGCTTATAAGAAAAGAATGATGCTGAGAGGTGTGTTTTGATTTCATAGCTAATATCAGAAGAGCTAATATCAGCAGCTGATCTAACCTGCACATCCCTGCATTTGTTTTACCTCAAAGACTAAGTCTTTGTAAAATTAGGGCAAACATGTATTCTGTATAGATTGCAGATCCCTGATCCAGCCAGACGTTGCAGGAACTGCTACCATGTTACTCTGGGATATTGAAATGGTTCCTCTGTCTAGGTGAGTTATGGCTTAAAGAAAAATCGCTGTTGTCATATTTCTTCGCGCACGAATACTTGCAAATATAGCTTAACTTGTAATGCAAAGGAGTAGCTGTGCTTGAAAACTCCTAAAAAACGTGACTTGTGTTTGTCTTTAGGAGTTAAGCAGAGTTTGAAGCTCTGTTCTTCGTCGTTACTGAATGCTCTCAAACTCCAAGTCAAACTTACTGACAGTAATTCACCGCCTATTACCAAGTCTTCTCTTAAAATGATCCTACCTTTGATACTAATTCCAAGTCCTCCCACATCTTGTTTGGTCACACGCACGGTGCGCTTCACGTTGGTGATGGTTTCCGGGACCGGGGATGAACTGAGGTTCGGAGGGTCTCCGTTGACAGCACCTGCGGGATTCGGGTTGGGCTTCGCGGGCTCCTCGGCTCCCTCACCGGGGTTTACGGTGAGAGTGTCCTCGGTAAGCGTGGCCAGCACACGGATCCAGCGGTCCACGGTCAATCGAAGTTCCAGCAGTCCCGTTTTCTGCGCCTTCATCGCGGCAGCCATGTTCAACGCATTCCTGGAATAACTCTAGACGGGCTGGCAGTCCTGTAAAGAGGGGGTGGAGGGCTGGGGTAGGGGGCATGCAGACACGCACACACTATCGCAAAGAAACGCTGATTTCACCTCCTTCTCTATTAGTAAGGAGTTATCTCACAATTGCAAAAAAGAGTTAACAAAGTTCGAAGAGCTGTTTGGTTTGTTACCCTCAATTAAATGTGAATCCATTCTGTCGTTAATTTATTTGATCTATCTGCCCCCACCTCCTCCCTTTTCTTTTTACTGTTTTAGTTAAATGTGTGCCATTTGCGCGCCACGGTGTTGGATTCACATAAAGAGTTGTTGGCTTAAGGCTCACTACCCAGCAAAAAGCTGGATACAGCCAAGAGAGCGCCACAAGTCTTTGAAAAAGTCAATTGCGTAAACCGGTTTATTGCCTATTTGCATGTGCACCCCACTATGATGCCCAACTAGAAGCAACTTTGGTTTACAGCTGCATTGTAAAACAACACTAATTGTTGTTTTACAGTGCAGCTGGCTACTCACGCTGACGGTAATTTTTGATTTGAAAGTTTTAATTCAGAGCTCAATTAATTGTTGGTGTTTTATCATCACTAGTTTAAAAATCAAATGATATCAACTGATCAAACTTGAATTGGATTATTCTACATTGAACAGATGCTCTTTAACATACTGCCCCAGACTTACAGATTATTATTCCACCCAAAGGAGAATTTATTGGGATTTTATTCCATGGTCAGCAGTGTTTTCTGTTAGAAAAGCTCATATCATAAAAACAAAAGAATAATGAAAACATAGGAGTGAAGAGTTGTGTTTAGTTTCGTTTTAGATTAGTTATCCAAAAACAATATGTAATAAACAATAAAAAATAGGATTCATTTAGATACTAAAACACAGTCTTTAATAAGCCATTGCCAAGTCAATTGTCCTGGGTTCAAGAGTCCTCCTTCGCATTGATAAGTCTTGCACCATCACAGTGATTCAGCAGAGGCCCACTTAATTGTGCACAGTTGAAAACAAACATGAGTCACTGATACAAACTGATGAAGCGGCCCACCGTTTCAATACTCTTTTGCATCTGCAAGTGATCTCCTAGATTTTCAGCTGAGTTTGTGTACATGTGTGGCAGCCTGAGTTGCATCTGCTTCACAGCAGGTGAAAAAGCAATGAGGTTCCAGTAACTAATATTAGAAAGCACACTTCTGGGTGGGCCGGTTTGAAGTCAATTGCTCACTAAAAGAAAACAAGTTTGGCTCACTGACTGAAAATTGCTTTAAACATTTGCAGATGGTTTACAGGAGCCCATCTGTTAGAATGATACCTTCATAATCAGGTTGACCTTTACCATTTTTTATTTTATTTATTCAAACTGTACTGTCCCTTAAACATTTTTGAGACAGACCAGGCTGTACACATTTTTCTCAATCTTTTGTCTCCCTCTAGTGGTTAAAGGGCCATATTATGTTAACAAAAAAGTGCACTGAAGTGTTGGCTTGTGGTGCTTTGAATTGTTGGGTTTCATGATGGCCAAAAAAAAGAACAAAGGTAACATTAGTTAACAGAATGCTAAATTAATAGAATTTTTGTACAATCCAAGATTGTTGCAATACAACATAATTGTTACACTTAATGAAATCAACAAGAAGGACCTTACCAAAGAAAACACTTTTTGCTGAACATAGCTATTATTCAGAATAAAAGGGCTGCTATTCCCTCTAGTGGCCATATAACATTAAGTCAAATCAATTTATTGTTTACTGTTATTTATATACACCATTTAATTGTTTTTTTTTTCATATTTTTTCAACATTTGTATGTACCCCCACAAGCCTTAAACACACAATAAATAGTTCAGTATCAAAGAAAAAAAGGCATTGACACCAGTGCTTGACTTTAGCAGTGCATCTATTTAATAATGTTACCCATTGGGACAAATGGTTTTTTGTTATACATCTCTCAGTCTATTACTTTGTGATGTGAGTGGCAGGTGGCTTGGCTTGAAGTGCTTTAAAAACCTTTATGAGGATTTAAGAACATGTTGTGTATAGGGTCACCCTATCATTTGGTCATGCTGGAAAGTGTTTTTTTTTTTTTGTTTGTTTGTATTTTTGTTTGGTTTTTGTTTGCTAAAAATATTGGTGGTCCTCTCAAAAGAAAGCATGATCCTATTATTTTAGTTTTGCTAAACTTCACCTGCCTTGAGTCTAAGTATTGTGCAGGGATTTAGGCTTTAAGGGGTTTTCTTGAGGTGTTCGGCACTGGTACTGTAAGGTTATTAGATATACTCCTAAGTGCTTAAGTAGTCAACTGGAATTCTGTCTTGTTTCTTGAAGACAATCTATTCTACATAATGTGATTGTTCTAGTTCTGACTTTTAAATTGGGAATTCCCAATCCACTATCAGAACTAAAAAAAACATTTTGGTTGACAAGGGAAAATATCTTTGAGAAAGAGATAACTAATGTGCTCTTAGTTCTTCTAAATTAGCATTTAAATCAAAACATTTACTATTGAAAATTTTAACTTGACTTAAACACCCTTCTAATATCAACATTAGCTTTTTCATACTTCATTACAAATGCTATATATGTATATAAGTGTCAAAACAAGAACATTTCAGGGATAATGAAAGTGTAGTGTATTTCAATAACAATATTTCACAATTGTGCAGTTTAAAATAGTTTTGCCTCCTCAAAAAATCTATCATTGTGTCTAATAAGCATTCTTGTATTTGAATTATTATTTTTATTTAATCCTTTGAACCTACCTGTGAGAAAATTGCCTTAATGTCAAAGCTCAGACTTTGATAAGTGGAGTAAGAGGGGCATAAATGCAACATGCATAGAGAACAACAATGGAAATACAATTAGCATAGGATTAAGAAAATATTTCCTTAATAATTTTAATGTACTTTTTTTTTCAGTTTAATGTTTCAACTGTAATCAGAGAGCCATAAACAGGTGGCATGTGACAACTTTGATTTAATAAAAAAAAGTAGTTGATATCGCCTTAGTCCTTATAGATTTAAAAATTCCTTTAATACATTAATTAATACATTGGTATATAAAACAAATACATTTATAATTTTTTTTCTTCTGAAGAACAGTCATTAGAGATAATCTTAGACTTTACATATGCCTGAGTTATCTGTTCACACTCCCTAGCTTATTGAGTCTGAAATAATTAAAGACAGACTAAAGTACATATGTTCTGCATTCAATCATA